CTGGACACGACTCCAGATGCAGCCTCACCGGTGCTGAATAGAGGGGAAGATTCACTGCCCTCCATCTGTTGGCAGTGTTCCTACCGATGCAGCCCAGGATGCCGGTCGCCTTCTTGGCAGCAAGGGCACACCACTGGCTCCTGTTCAGCTTCTTGTTCCCTGTCACCCCCCAGGTCCTTTTCTGCTGCCCAGCCAGTCACCCCCAGCCTGCACCAATGCATGATTCAAGAATCTTTTTTTTGTTGTTGTTTTTTGCTACTGTTTAAAGCTAGTTACCATCCTTGTTTCAAAGGACTAATATTTCCATAATTACAAAGGCTGTTTTGTGTTGTTTCTGTATATATTATTCACCTGAACTCAGCAATCTAATTTGAAAAAGAATCATAAACAACAGAGGCTTTTAGTAGGTTTGTTAAGTGTCGGCTGTTGTAGAGTTTATGGTTTCATAAAATTATTATCCTTTTATTTAGCATGAAAGACTTCATGCAGTAATATCTTATCCATTAGAAAAAATGACTTAACCAAATGGATAGAACTTATTTAAAGTTAATATAATTGATCAGCCTTCTTGTTTTTTTCCTTTTGTTTTTGCTTGGAGTATGTGAGGCAGTGTTATCATAGTGGACATATTCAAAATAAATCTATATTTTAACATAAATTGAGTGGGGAAATAGTCATGTATTTGATAAAAATAAGCCAAAATGCTAATAAAGTGTGTCACATTGTGCTGACATACTCTGGTCAGGTTCATTTAATTTATTTCTAATTCTAGTCTCTAAAATGAAGAACAATTTCCAAATCTTGAAAAAAATACAGCTTTTTATTTGGCTACATATTATGTCATATGGTCAGACATGCATTATACAATTGCAGTTCATAATCAACAAGAGTAAGGTAGGTCAGCTGCATGGACCATAATTTTGCTCTGTCTTTGTTAAAAGACGACTTGAGTCAGGTGGTTGACTTTGTCATTCGCTTGTGTGATTACTTCAGACACAATTTGCTATCTAGGAAATACGAGAGCGAATGTCTTTAGCATAGGGGTGTCCAAAATATGACCCATGGAGCTCTCTCACCTGACCCACGCCACTGCCTGTGGTCCTGGACCAGTGCACCACATGCAACATGTACAGGCCAGTCTTGGGCACATGCAACATGTGGTGAACACTCTGGATCAAGCCCACAGACTGGGCCCCGCATGCTGGAGCCAGGATGCAGGGCTGGTCTGTGTGGGTGTCGCATGCAGTGTGCGCTCCAGACTGGCCCCATGCCCTTTGTGTAGCATGCACCCTGGACAAGCACCATGCACCACTGCACCACACACTGGGGCTGGGGCCAGGGCCAGTGCACACCACATGCCAGTGTGTGGGCCCAGAGCCAGCGGGTGTGCTGCAAGCATCATGTGGGGCCAGTCTGGGGCATGTGCTGCAGGCTGGGACCAGCGTATGGGACTAGTCTGTGGGCCCAATCCGGCCTGCAGGCCAGCCTCATGCCTCTTGTCCAGCCTGCAGGGCTGAATGAGTTTGACATCCCTGCATTAGGATTCTTTCACATACCTTTTGCAGTTACAGAAGTAAGACCAAATTAAAACAAGAGCAAAGCAGATGCCTTCTATAGAAGGTGTGGTCCCGGCGCAGCTCACAGCTGTGCAGTGCAAGACAGAGGCCTCCCTAGTAATAGTCTGAGAAGTGTTCACTATTTATGTGGAGATCAGCTGTAGTTAGAAGGACCCATTTGTCCTGCAGCCCTTCCCAGTCCGACCCTCCACGGTGTCTCCTGGAAGCAGAGGTGAACTGGGCAGATGGAGCTGCCCCACGTGCCTGTTTCATGGAAGAGCAGAAGGTCAGCTGTGCTGGGTGCTACCAGACTGCGGCAGTGGCAGCATCCCCCTGATTGAGAGCTGCTTTGGCAAGTTGAGGCAGCACAACAGTGGTTCTCAACAGGGTGCTGCCAAATCTAAAAAAAAAAAAAAAAAAAAATAGGTTG